AATCCGAACCCGAAAAACTGAAAATGTAACTAATCAGATCGATTTCGGGTAAACCCAAAAAACCGAACACACCCCCTAGGTATAACCAGCCGATACTATACTATTTCACAAATACTGCATTATATTAGAAACGGAATATATGTTAGGACTTTGCTACGGTGACATGCATGTCACGGTGACATGCACTTTTCGGTCGACCTCATATAGGATCAGGTCGACCTAATCAGTTGTTTCAGTGTACAAACGGTTTCATGGTGCCTACTTTGGAGATTCATATCTTACAATTGGCTAGATGGAAATTGGAGATTAAAGGCTTGTTTTGAAGCTGAAGTGTCCCTCTACACATTAAAGTACATGGGAGCTCAATAGAAAGTCCAGAAGACCATTTTTGAACCTGACCAAAAGGCTATGCCAAAACTGAGAAACTGCCTGAAAATGGCTAAGTCTGGCAACGTTTTTGTCAAGCCTACTTTGGAGCTCAATTTGACAAGCATGGATGCGAGTCAAGTCCAGGGGCCTTTACCACGTTAAATTACGTATTTTTTTATACAAAGGCAAGGCATTGAATGAAAGATTGAATATCTTTAAGGCTTCAAACAAAAGGGTCGAAGTTGCTACGAAGGCTGTTTTTCTGGCAGCTTGCTTGTGCTCGAAGTCTGCCAGAAAAACAGCCTTCGTAGCAACTTCAACCCTTTTGTTTGAAGCCTTAAAGATATCCAATCTTTCATCCAATTCCTTGAATTTGTATAAAAACATACCTAATTTAACGTGGTAGAGGCTCCTGGACTCGACTCGCATTCATGCTTCTCGAATTGAGCTCAAAAATAGGCTTCACAAACACGTTTCCAGACTTAGCCATTTCTAGGCAGTTTCCCAGTTTTGGCATAGCCTTTTGATGAGGTTCAAAAATGGTCTTCTGGACTTCCTATCGAGCTCTCAATCACTTTAATATGTAGAGGGACACTCCAACTTCAAAACAAGTCATTAGTCTTCAATTTCCATCTAGCCAATTGTATGATATGAATATCCAAAGTAGGCACCATGAACTGTTTTTACACTGAAACAACATATTAGGTTGACCGGATCCTATATGAGGTCGACCGAATCCTAAATGAGGTCGACCGGATCCTATATGAGGTCGACCGAATTCTATATGAGGTCGACCTAATCCTAACTGAGGTCGACCGGAAAGTGCAAGTCACCGTGACATGCATGTCACCGTAGGCACACCCTATATGTTATTATGCTTTTAACTTTATGTTGATATTTGAATTCTTGTTAGTGCTTGTAAACCGATTCTGTACGATAACCGAGCCAAAATTTTAAAATGGGTTTATGCTGAGGCGGATAACCATATGAACAAAACAAAAATGATAGTGATAATGGTTTTGAAACCGATATATATATATCAAAGTGGTAAATAATTATATTTCAGACAAAATTATTGGATAACCAAACCATTTATTGCAAACCGAATCATAACTGATTATAATATACACTAAGCCTAGTCATTTGAATATTAATGAAATTTTGTATTATTTATTTTGTGAGAGAGTTTGAAAGCTATGTGAGAACTTCTTGGTGAGATGATATAGATTTAGAATTATATATTTTTGTTAGTGACAAATTGAACACTAAATTAGTGTATTATATATGTCTTCTATGAAAATATACATAATCCCACAAACAGTCAACCATTGGATTTTTAATTGTTAACTATTAGACTATAACTTATCATTAGAAAAATTAAATAATTTCACAAACGGTTAATCAATAATTTTATAATCGTTTAATTATTAAACTATAAATTATTAAGTTTTCGATTCAACATCCAATTTGGTTATGCAAACAGAGATACTTATTAGTAATTTCGGCAGTTGGTTTAGCAACACTAATTTTAATTATTGTCAAGTGGTTAAGGATTCTTATATTTTTTTTATGTATGAAAGTTTGCATTGATCTACTTGGATCTTATAATGATATATATATATATATCAGTCTATGTCAAAAAAGATACATAAATATGCTCTATATATTGCGGGTCATGAAATATCTCGTACGCCACCACAAATCCTATGATGAAGACATTCTACCAAATTACGAAAAGGGAAAAAGAAACGTGTTCCTTTCTCGCTAAAAAACAATAAAAAAATATTTAACGCCGACCCACCAATAATATAGTTCCGTTGTGATGTGATGACGACTGTTGATCAGGAACTGTTAGCGGCGGTATCCGACACAACAAGCTCGTCCATGGAATGGGCCCTGGCGGAACTCCTCAAGAACCCAGAAACGATGACGGCAGCTCGCCGGGAGTTCGACGACAAGTTCTCCAAAGGCCACGTCATCAAAGAATCCGACCTCGCCTACCTACCTTACCTCTGCGCATGCGTGAAGGAGACCCTACGACTCCACCCTCCGGCGCCGCTTCTGCTGCCACGTCGGGCGGCCACGGACTGCCACGTCATGGGCTACACGGTACCCAAGGCCGCCCACGTGTTCGTCAACGTGTGGGCGATCGGGAGGGACCCGCGTTACTGGGAAGACGCGCTGAGTTTCAAGCCGGAGAGGTTCTTGGTGGGTGGTTCAGAGCGTGACGTGGATTACAAGGGCAGCCACTTCGAGTTCCTGCCGTTTGGGAGCGGGAGGAGGATTTGTTCCGGGCTGCCCATGGCTGTAAGGAAAGTCCAGCTGGCGGTGGCGACTCTGGTCCACGGGTTTGACTGGTCGCTGCCGGCCGGGATGGCGGCGGAGGAGTTGGAGATGGATGAGAGGTATGGCGTCACGTTGATGAAGCTGAACCCATTAGTCGTCATCCCAACTCCAAGGGTTTAAGCGTGCATGGCAGCATGGTAATTAATAAATGTCTACTTATGAATAAGCTTCTGCTGGTAATGGTTTGTATGTAATCTGTGCTCTCGATCTATATATAGATGCACGACTACGTTTGAGTTTAGTGTATTTTAATTATAAGGAACGAAGAAGAGACATTTATGAATAGTGTCATTTTGGAAACTTCAATTTATAATCTTTAACAATAAATAACTCCAAGTCTGAAAAGAAAATTTCTCAGCATATGATATAAGACCTCAATAAAGTTTGCTCAATCAACATGACCTAGACAAAATATTAGTAATGTGAACTTAGAATACATTATAAATACTGCACATGCGATTCATATGTTTTCACTCGATCGGAATGAATAAGAAGCTTTTCTAATAAATAACTATTATTTCTTGGTCAAGTTTCTTTCAGACATTATTGACAAAATATTATTATTTTTGTGTGTTTGTTTAAATTATTCATTAAAATGTAAATTATTATTAAGTTTTAGTAAAAATGACCAGAAATTTACATAGTAATCTTTAATCATATATTTTTTGGTTTAAAAAGTGTGATATATATGTCACTCTATGAACATTAGTATACTGTTGCGTACATCAATATAATGCAAAACCAAAATGTGATATATGTGACTCTCCATCATGATTGTCACGTCGGTCGGAAACGACACAAATCGGTTGTACCACTGGTAAAACCATTACACTTGCTAAACCGGTTTGATAACCTTTCTCTCCATATATTATTTATAGATATAATGCAAAAACAAAAGCAAAATAATTATTGGATAAAAGAGAATTAAATATTAAATGAAGAGAGAGGGACAACTCCATAAATAGGTGAATAACTATTGTTTTTGGTAAGAAATTGTCCTCCTTGGCAACTTAAGATCTCTCCAGGTGCTTATGTGGCAAAAATTTAATTTTGAATTGCCATAATATTATGTATAGATAGATAGATAGATAGATAGATTCTTAAGTACTATCCAACTAAATTTCTTTTATTGTACATGCATAAAACTTCTCATATTACATAAACGTCTAGCATTTGAATCCTATATATACACCTATACGGGGTTATTGATTTTTCACTAAATTAAATTTTAAGTGAATCTCATGACAAGACCAAATAGTACAGACTCCATCGTTAAAAAAAGTCGCGTAACATTTAAGGACGTTAGCTCATGTTCTTACGAAGGCGCGCGCATATGGATCAAGGAAGCTAGAATCAATGACACTTGTTTAGCTGTTGTGGGAACTGGGAAGTCCCGAGCACACCCTCCGTCTAGAGCCAAACGACAGAAACTCAAAGTCGCGCAACCTTTAAAGTCCCGTTAATCGAGCCATCAATGAACCAAAGACAACGAGTCCTCCCAAACAGGCGGGTCTCGCCCTATCACACACACATTAACAACTCACACTCATCCACATGGACCACACACAACATAACAAATAGGTCGACTACTGTGGATTGGGATGGATATGTGGTTTCAACCACCGAATTGTGAGTGCATTTCAAGAGTAGTATCATCTTTTTTTTACCTTGCCAAACAAGACTATCTATATTGTATACAAGAAGAAAACGTCGCATATTTATTGCACGGTAGAAGTGTTTTTCATTAGTTATACACATCCCTCGATCGTCTGTCTCCTCTCCTCTCCTCTCTCCCTGCTGAGTATTGAGACACCTATGGAAGATAAAAACGTCACATTAGGTGAATTGTAAAGCAAGTACCAAAATTTGACGTCAAATAATATTGCCAGACCTCACTTGCTATTCTTGAACTCGTACTTGGCTTCATTTATTAGAGGTGCCGTGCCAGTACAGTGACAACGAACACTATCCAAGCACATGACCAAGTTAATATGGAAATGGGGATGAAATTGCTCTGCAAGTTGAGTGGCAAGTGGCAATTGTACTACCATCAATCAATGTTAGCTTGATTTCTTTTATGAAATTATTGGAATGCTTATGCACCGGATTATCTGGTTTGGATTGCGCAAATGGTCACATTATATCTCTCATTTCACCACTTAATGAACTTCTTTGGTTTCAATGACCGTTTCAAGATCTTTGACACATTGCATACTCAATTTATAAATATCTACTGTTATAACTGAGGAGTTCTTCGTATTGTCGAACAATTATATTATACTTTTCATGAACTCATCAAATATATTAAATTCGGTTATTATCTCGTACGTAATAAACTTCATGCTAAGGTCATTTCCACCACTCAAATGGTTGATAACATACAAACATAATCACACGAGCTTGTCTCGTCATTAATTCATATACGGACTTTTTTTTTAACTACGTGAATGACTCTTAGCTCCCAAATGAACACCGTAGATTTCAAAATGAACTTCGGTTGAGAACAAGAAGCAGAGGTTGTTCCTTCTGCAAGGTAATCCCAAACTTCTCACTCATATCCATCTCTGCCGGATCTTCTCCGTCGGGGAGGCACCAATCGAAGTTTCGAACCAAAGCAGCAAGAACCAACGGAATCTGCCTGGTGGCCAATGGCACTCCGGGGCACATCCTCCTCCCAGCGCCGAACGGCAGCAGCTCGAAATCCTGCCCTCTAAAATCCACCTCCGACCCAATGAACCTCTCCGGCTTGAACGACGTCGGGTCATCCTCCCACACCATCGGATCCCTCGAAATCGCCCACACGTTGACCACAATCTGAGCCCCTTCAGGGACCGTGTAGCCCATCACCTCGCAACTCTCCGGTGCTCGGTGCGGCAGCAGCAACGGTCCCGGCGGGTGTAGCCTTAGCGTCTCCTTCACGATTGCGTTTAAGTACGGAAGCCGACACGCCGCAGATTCCTCGATCTGCGATTTTCCTACTAGCGGTGGGGACAATTCCGCCTTCAGCTCCTCCCGCAGCTTTTCCATCGCCCCCTTGTTTCGAATCAGCTCTGTCATCGCCCATTCTATTGTGGCCGTGTTAGTATCCGTACCAGCACTGAACAATTCCTACAAGAATAACCAAAGCTCAAACTAATCTTGTGGTAACTGTAGACCATAAAAATCGAATTGGAGTTTTCTTCTGAACTTACGAGACTCAACCAGTCAATCTGGTCATCATCGAGTCCATTTTCCAGGAAGATATCCAAGAAATCTTCAGCACCATATGGGTCTCTCCGCCGCCGCTCTCTCCTCTGTTTAACGTAAGGCTGCCAAACAGAGTACAACTCGTTGCAACAGCGAAAAACCTCGCGTCTCAGCCCCTGGGGATCCAATTTCTTCAGAACCGGAAAAAAATCGGCGAGATTAGGGGACGTCCCCAATTCCATGAACCTCCAAATCAGCGACTTCAATCGATTCGCCGTCTCGCTGCTTTCGAACCCTATGCAATCTCGCGACAACATGAGATTCGACAGCGAGTCGAAGATAGCAGTGAAAACGACTTCGCCGATACTAACCGACTCCCCTAGTTTCCCCTCGAGAAATTCCACCATCTGGGCGACCTTCCTCTCCCTGACGGCGGCCTGAGATTCGATCGCCTTCGCCGAGAAGATCTGGTTCCTGAACATTGCTCGGAAGGCCTTCCACTGGTCGTTGCTGCAGCTGGAAGCCCAAACGATCGCCTTGCGGTCGAGCTCCACCGTGTCGTAAGGCACGACCGTGGGGACGTATCTGGCGGAGAGGAGGCGGTCGTGGGTTCTCAAGATTTCGGCGGCTGCCGCGGGGGAAGAGGCGACGACGAGGAGCTGGGAGCCGAGGCGGAGGGAGATGAGAGGGCCGTAGAGCTGGGAGAAGTGTTGGAGGGAGATGTGAGCTTGCTTGCCGAGGTGAGGGAGGTTTCCGATAATGGGCCATGGCTTAGGGCCTGGAGGCAGCGTCGGTGAGCGGTGTTTGGAAGCTGCAGAGGTGGTGAGAAATCGTGAAACTGTGATGACGACGAGGATGGTGATGGAGATTGGGAGGAGGAGAAGATAGATGAGTACCATTTTGTCAGGAGATGTGATTTGGAGAATTGGATATGGGCTGTTAAGATATCTGCTGGGGATTCATTTATAGAGCCACCGGTACACTGACATCTAATAAATTAAAGATGCATGGCTTGAACAAGTCCCGGGTGGGCGAAGAGAATATGCATGCATGGCTACTTTTCACCTGTCTCCTTCATCTGTTTGTACTTTGTAGCCTCAAAACAGCATATTCTCGTACGGGTCTATAACTGGGTATAATAATTAATTGTCACCCAAATTGGAATTAGCCTACGCAAAATATATAATGATTAATTGTCACCCAATGTGGAATTAGTAGTCTATGCCAAACTACGCATGGCATGGGTATAATAATTCATTTCGGTTTTGGTACTTCGGGTTTCAAGGATTTGGAGGCTGAATTTTGACATACAAATACTAAATCAATTAGACAAACAATGTTCTCTTTCGAATACAAAATGCACAATCCATTATAATTTAATCAAAAAGTTTCCAAAACTCAACGCCTTCATTTTCAAATCCAACCAGCAAACGAGCCCTTAAACAGACTTCAAATACGGTCATGCAAATCAAGACATGTGCATGTTGTAGCTAGAGGAGACTGTTTTGGCTCTGCCTTGACGAATTTTGGCTCAACAATGAAAATTAATGGGTATTTTACTTGATGTCGACCCGGTTAAAGCGAGTTCGACCCGGCGTTGGTGAGTTTTTGCTACCACGCTTAAATCAATAGATATTCGACTTAATTCGATCCAGGTATTGCGAGTTGAACTTGGTGATAACGAAATTTGGGTCGAAATCAATGGTTTAACCGTTAACCGCCGGTTAGCGACTAACCGGAAACCGAAATTTATGTTCAGCGGTCGGTTGGCGGAAACGTAACAGGGTCAGGCGGTTAGCCGAGTAACCAAAGCCGGTTAACCGGCTAACAAACGCTAACCGACCGACGATACGATGTCGTTTTGGCTAAGCGTAAAAAACGACCCAACCCTAGGCCCTCTTCGTCCTCAGCCGCAGCCTCCATCCTCTTCGACCTCAGCCAGCAGCCTCCATCCTCTTCGACCTCAGCCGCTACTCCTTCTCCCTCACGACCGGCGATCCCCTCATTCGGTCGACAGTCCCAGCCCTCCGACCCCCCGCCGCCTCCACCTCGACGTCGCCAAGCCGCCCTCCTTCTCGTCGCCCCGCCGCCCTCCAGAAGGAAGAAGCAGCTCGTCGCCCTTTCCCCATCTAAAAAGGGCCTGCAAATTATGTATGTCGAATGATTTTGGTGGATTGGTGATGATTTTGGTGGATTTATGTCGATTGATCTGGGTGTGGTGGGAAATCAAAGCTCTCCATCGCTCAACACTCTGCGCGTACGCAACGACGAGGAAGAAATTGAAACTCTCCGTCAATGACCAGAAACTTATAGGGGATTTGAGTGTTGGATATTCTTTTAGGGGATTCGAGTTTGTGCCAGGACTTGCTCCGCTTCGGCGTGTCGGCGGCAGAAAAAGGCAGTTCTAGAGATGTACGAGTCGATTGAAGCGGCAACGATTTGGTTTTAGATGGTGGTTTGGGAATGAATAGAGATGGAATTGGGGATTTTGGTGGTGATGGAGTATTAGCTGATGTCGAGCTCGTTGGACCTTAGATCTAGGAAATTCGGTGAGGGGAGCGAGATGACAACGGTTGGAAACTTCCCGACGAACATTAATCCTTGGCAACATCTTTCACCTCTGTTTCTTTAGACAGAATCAGAGCTCAATTGCTACCATTTATGCGGGGAGACAACCAAACTTTGATTTATTTTGGATAGGAACTCGTTCCTGGGCCACTGCAACCACCATGCATCCTCTTCCTCGGATCTCTGTATGTTGGAGTGGGGATAGACAGCCGAGAAATAATCGGCGAGTGGAGGAAGAAGATGGCGAAGGGAGCTTGAGATCGGGAGGGAGAAAACGAAGACGGGAAGCTTCTGGTCGGTTTGTGTAGGTCGACCGGTCGGTTTTTGGCAGTCTTCGGTCGGTCATGACAGCATACCGAACCGACCCTCCCTTTCTCGGTGCTGCCGGTTTAACCGTGCCTTAACCGAAACCGCCCGCTCGATTTACGGATAACCGAGGCGCCAGGGTCGGTCGGTGGCCGGTAGTAACTGGTTAGGTCTCGATTTAACCGAAAACCAAGAATTCGGTTTTCTGTTAAACCAAAACCGACCGGTTGACAGCCCTAGTCTCTATTGAAAAAAGAGACAATTTTACAAGCCGTTGGACAAGAAAATAAGCAATTCAATGAGTTTAGGTAAAAACACATAGGCACGAAAATACATAATATCACGAGGCATTTACGTTGAACCAATCACTAATATGCAATTTAATAGGTATAAACTAGGGGTGTAAGTTCGGGTCGGGGTCGGTTACCCAAACCGAAACCCGAAAAAACCCGAAACAGAAATAAATGAAAACCGAAACCTAAAAACCCGAATAAGAATGCGGTATGAGTTCTATTCCTTGGAAGTTTTCAGACTGAACCCGAAAACCCGATAAGCAAAACTGAATCCGAAACTGAAAAAACCGAAACCCGAAACAAATCCGAACCCGAAAAACTGAAAATGTATCTAATCGGATCGGTTTCGGGTAAACCCAAAAAATCGAACCCGAATGGACACCTAGGTATAACCGGTCGATACTATACTATTTCACAAATACTGCATTATATTAGAAACGGAATATATGTTATTATGCTTTTAACTTTATGTTGATATGTGAATTCTTGTTAGTGCTTGTAAACCGATTCTGTACGATAACCGGGCAAAATTTTTAAAATGGGTTTATGCTGAGGCGGCATAATTATATGAACAAAACAAAAATGATAGTGATAATGGTTTGGGTGTGCCTACGATGACATGCATGTCATGGTGACTTGCACTTTTCGGTCGACTTCAGTTACGATTAGGTCGACCTCGTTTAGAATTCGGTCGACCTCATATAGGCTCAGGTCGACCTAATCTGTTGTTGCAGTGTAAAAACAGTTCAATGGTGCCTACTTTGGATATTCATATCATACAATTGGCTAGATGGAAATTGAAGACTAATGACTTGTTTTGAAGCTGGAGTGTCCCTCTACATATTGAAGTGATTGAGAGCTCGATAGGAAGTCCAGAAGACCATTTTTGAACCTCATCAAAAGGCTATGCCAAAACTAGGAAACTGCCTAGAAATGGCTAAGTCTGGAAACGTGTTTGTGAAACCTATTTTGGAGCTCAATTCGAGAAGCATGAATGCGAGTCGAGTCCAGGAGCCTCTACCACATTAAATTAGGTATGTTTTTATACAAGAATGGATATGCATTTTATTAACAACGAAGAAGAGACATTTACGAGTAGTGAATGTGTAGAATGATAGCATAGACATTCCTGGTGTGGTGAGTATTATAATTGATAAGCACATCACCACGAAACGCCATTCGAATCCATTAAAATTCGTGGTCGATAAAAAACGCGACAAAACACTAGTTGTGGAGTCAGAAACACGCGAGAGTGAGAATATGATATAAATATATGAATGAATATTTTACAAACTTAATATTTAAATAATAATTAATTAATGATATAAAAATAACATATTACTACAAGTTTCTGACCTAATGAAAAACATCTCTTGTCACGTTAGGTGTGAAAATACCTAAGGTCGGCTTATTTACGCTATTTTGTACTCTTTCACACTATTTTGTGCTCATTCACGTAATACTATGGTGATTTACGTAAGAGTGTACGTTTTTCACGCCATGCTAATCATGTAGGGACGACAAGTGGGTGAATTATAAAGCAAGTACCAAAATTTGACGTCAAATAATAATGCCAGAACTCACTTGTCACGTTACTTCAATAATGGACTCTCGTACTTGGCTTCATTTATTAGAAGTACCAGTACAGTTACAACCAACACTAATCCAAGTACATGACCAAGTTAATATGGAACTGGATAAATGCACCGGATAATCTGGTTTTGATTGAGAAAGTGGTCACATTATTTCTCTCTTTTCACCACTTAATGAACTTCTTTGGTTTCAATGGCCATTTCAAGATCTTTGACACATTGCATCCTCAATTTATAAATAACTACTGTTATAACTAAGGAGCTCTTTGTATTGTCGACAATTCAACTTTACATGAACACATCATATGTATTAAATTTGGTTATTATCTCGTACGTAATAAACTTCATGCTAAGGTAATTTCCACGACTCAAATGGTTGATAACATACAAACATATATAATCACACGAGCTTGTCTCGTCATTAATCCATATATGGACTCTTTTTTTTAACTATGTGAATGATTCTTAGCTCCCAAACGAAGACCGAAGATTTCATAATGAACTTCGGTTGGGAACAAGAAGCAGAGGTTGTTCCTTCTGCAAGGTAATCCCAAACTTCTCACTCATATCCAACTCGGCCGGATCTTCTCCGTCGGGGAGGCACCAATCGAAGTTTCGAACCAAAGCAGCAAGAACCAACGGAATCTGCCTGGTGGCCAATGGCACTCCAGGGCACATCCTCCTCCCAGCGCCGAATGGCAGCAGCTCGAAATCCTGCCCTCTAAAATCCACCTCCGACTCAATGAACCTCTCCGGCTTGAACGACGTCGGGTCATCCTCCCACACCGTCGGATCCCTCGAAATCGCCCACACGTTGACCACAATCTGAGCCCCTTCAGGGACCATGTAGCCCATCACCTCGCAACTCTCCGGTGCTCGGTGCGGCAGCAGCAACGGTCCCGGCGGGTGTAGCCTCAGCGTCTCCTTCACGATTGCGTTTAAGTACGGAAGCCAACACGCCGCAGATTCGTCGATCTGCGATTTTCCTACTAGCGGTGGGGACAATTCCGCCTTAAGCTCCTCCCGCAGCTTTTCCATCGCCCCCTTGTTTCGAATCAGCTCTGTCATCGCCCATTCTATTGTGGCCGTGTTAGTATCCGTACCGGCACTGAACAATTCCTACAAGAATAACCAAATCTCAAACTAATCTTGTGGTAACTGTAGACCATAAAAATCGAATTGGAGTTTTCTTCTGAACTTACGAGACTCAACCAGTCAATCTGGTCATCATCGAGTCCATTTTCCAGGAAGATATCCAAGAAATCTTCAGCACCATATGGGTCTCTCCGCCGCCGCTCTCTCCTCTGTTTAACGTAAGGCTGCCAAACAGAGTACAACTCGTTGCAACGGCGAAACGCCTCGCGTCTCAGCCCCTGGGGATCCAATTTCTTCAGAACCGGGAAAAAATCGGCGAGATTAGGGGACGTCCCCAATTCCATCAACCTCCAAATCAGCGACTTCAATCGATTCGCCGTCTCGCTGCTCTCGAACCCGATGCAATCTCGCGACAGCATGAGATTCGAGAGCGAGTCGAAGATAGCAGCGAAAACCACTTCGCCGATACTAACCGGCTCCCCTAGTTTCCCCTCGAGGAATTCCACCATCTGTGCGACCTTCCTCTCCCTGACGGCGGCCTGAGATTCGATGGCCTTGGCCGAGAAGATCTGGTTCCTGAACATTGCTCGGAAGGTCTTCCACTGGTCGTTGCTGCAGCTGGAAGCCCAAACGATCGCCTTGCGGTCGAGCTCTACCGTGTCGTAAGGCACGGCCGTGGGGACGTATCTGGCGGAGAGGAGGCGGTCGTGGGTTCTCAAGATTTCGGCGGCGGCCGCCGGGGAAGAGGCGACGACGAGGAGCTGGGAGCCGAGGCGGAGGGAGATGAGAGGGCCGTACAGGTGGGAGAAGCGTTGGAGGGAGATGTGAGCTTGCTTGCCGAGGTGAGGGAGGTTTCCGATGATGGGCCATGGGTTCGGGCCTGGAGGCAGCCGGTTCTTTGAAGATGCAGAGGTGGAGAGAAATCGGGGAATGGTGATGACGAGGAGGATGGTGATGGAGAGTGGGAGGAGGAGAAGAAAGAGTGACATTTTGTCAGGAGGCTTGATTTTGATAAATTGATATGGGTTGTTATTGGATCAAAATATCTGCTGGGCGTTTATTTATAGAACCACTGGTTTGGTGAACGGACAATCCAAACAAAAGAAAAGGTATCTTGTAAAAAAACAATATCCAACCATGGCAAAATTTTGGAATTGCTGTGCAAGTTTAATGGCAATAATGCGCCAACCATGAATCAATGATTTACATTGAGGGAGATAGGCATTGTATTTATTATTTACAACCCAACAAGTCGATTAGTACCGCATATGTAAGTTTCATTCCATTTTCGCTCCTTCTAGTTATTTTCTAGCGGGTTTGTAAAATAGCAGAGGAATTTTACAATATTATATAGTATTGGTGCTATAAGTTTTTGTTTTATGGTATAACTTGAAATCGTATTTTTAATGTTATGGTACAATTTCAACTTGTACCTATACGTTTTGTACAAATTCTTTTATAGTACAACTTAAATTTGTACCTTTATGTGATGGTACAACTTCAAGTTGTAAAATAATTACCATAACATAATTGTACAAATTTCTTTATGGTACAACCTAAACTTATACATTTAATGTTATGGTACAACTTGAAGTTGTACATTAAAGCACCAATACTATATAGCATAGTAGAAGTGCTCAAAATGGTATTGGATGACTTAGGATACGGTGAATAACTATTGGTTGACATGTTAGTAACCATATAGCTAGGGACCGTAGATCTAGGAGGCGGAGCCATCGTA